TGCCGCCGAGGCGCGCATTTTGCGGAAGGCTTGCGAATATGTTATTTTAGCTCCGGAGTAGCGAAATACGAACAGCGCAACGGCGGCGCCAGCAGGGAGCACCTGCACGACCCCGCGATTACAGGGCGATGGTTATCGCCGTGGAGGCGTTGCTGTGTACAGGTACAGGTATCGGCGTCACCAGGGTCGCGACTGCGCCCGCCAATGATCTCTCCCTCGAATTTGGTACACACTTCTTGTAGTACTAGCTCACCAGACATGATGTTTGCTTTTTATGTCTTTCCTGAGCGTTCGCGTCGGTTGTAAATAGTTTCGACAGTGTAAGCGAAAGGTGTCATTTTCACGAAATGTTTTTGAGGCCCCACCGTATCGCGTTTACGATGACTGAGGGCTGAGCTCGCTCACAGTGAAAGCAGTCGTCGCACTCGGGCAGCGCTAGGCTGAACTAGGCCAGTAGTATAACCGTACTCTATCTTGCCAAAATAGTGCGCTGCTACCGGGCGTTACATACCAAACGTACGCGGCCGGCTAGCTAGGCAGGACGAAGGAAGTGACGAAGGATCTTTCGCCCCCTCTCTTGCTTCCCCTCTAATCTCTATCCCCTCCTTCTCCTATGAACTGTACGGGATATCGGTCTGTTGGAACCTCCCAGGATGTGGGAATTCCCCTTCATTGTCGCAGTTGTTTTGTTTGTAGCATTATTCACCTTTTAAATTTTAATTGCTCATCATAAGTTGTTGTCACATTTTCACGCGTGTGTACACTCATCTGCTGTACTCCATTTCAATTTGTCAATACATTTATTGAATCTTTTTGGGAAAAGGTCACTTTTTTTAGTGTGGTTTTTTACATCCATTTTGACGAAATAATCCCTTGTTAAATTAAAATTAGAGATATACACTCATGCACTCAAAAAGACTAGGGTTGGGGGAAGGGGCGAAGGGAAACAAGTGAAAATCAAAAATAGAATCGAAATTCTTCCTGCATGCTGTTTAAGCTTTTGAGGTGCACTGCGTCGGTCGCCTACTCCTCCGCCTGTTTTTTTTTGGCAATTGCATCAGTGCAGAGGGGGTATAGCGGCGCGAGGTTACATGCATAGGGCATTTCCAGCAGCGATGGCGCGGCAGCTGGGCTGCGGTCTTAGCCTCATCTAACCTGGCGTAGCGTGGCGTAGCATGGCGTAGCGTGGCGTGGCGGGTTGACCAACGCCTAGCAGAACTGGGAATTGAAACTCCTCGTCCTCTCTAAGCGCCGCGCTGCTGGTTCGCGCGCCACAGCTGTGCTCATTACAACACACGCTTCAAGAAGTTTTTGGGAAGCCATGTCCTCGCGCAGGGGTCACGTGACGGACAGCACAGTCGTCTATTAGAAAACTAATCTATTTTTTTTCCTTGTCTCCTGAGCCACTGGCCCGGTATTGTTTAGAAGTGTTCGAAGGCCGACGGGTGCTGGCGGCGTCGTCTGCAGCGGTGTCGCGAGCGTCAAAACAGCTTTTGGCAGCTGAATGTGCAGTTAGCACCGAACAAAAGGCGCTGAGGTCGGGTCGGTTGCCTCACGGATTAATTACGTTTGAACCAGAGGAAGGGGAGATTCTAATTTGGTTATCTTAAGTAGTACTCAGTGCATACACTTTGTAAGAAGCTTGCGCAACATACTTCTTTCGACTTATCAATTCGTTTTCCTGTGTTATCGATTTGAGGCTTTTAGCCCAACCACTCCTGATTGTATGAAATATATATTGAATGGGCAAAATATCCGCGGAAATATTAATATCATCCTAAAACTGCATGGGTAAGACCAAAGTCCTGCACTGCTCCCGCCTGTGGATGTCGACTTGGCGCCCGTCCGAAATCGGCTTGTGGGGTGGGAGATGCTCTAAGACGTAACTTTCTCCCACTTCCCATACGTTTATTTTGGACGCTAAGTAGGCATCCCAGAAGAAAACTGTGCGGGCAATGCCCCCTTAGAGTTAGACTGTAAATAATGAAACTGTATGTCTTATACTGATTTACGCCACCATTAATTTTGCGAAGTAATCGAATGAGCCTAGTTTGAAGCGACAGCTAATGTAGTCTTAATAATTTCGTACCATAACAATTGCTTTACTTTAGTGCCGTAACATTTTTTCCCACCTTCCGCAACACAGCAAAGTCAGCGCCCTGTCGCACGGCTGAGAATAATACCACCTGCTTGCCCCTACCGGAAAGTGTTGTCATATTGCGATGTTTACGACCCCTCTCTCTCTCTCTCTGTCTCGCAGCTATCGGAGGAGTAGCGCCTCACTGGGACCGAGCCCGCTCTAGTCTAGTCCAGTCTCTTACCACACCGCCGCAATGCACGTGTAATTAGGCCCCTAGCTGGTCCACCATTGCGCGGCATTTCGGAAATCACCACTAGAGAAAAAAAACAACAAACTGCGTGCGGTCGGTTGGTGAAAGCAATTTAACCACCGACGTCCTATACACTCTTGCAGGTTTAACATTGGGACAGCTCTCTAAACTATGTGAGCTCTACTGCACTCATAAAAATGTATAGTGTTACGATTATATTGCTGCTAAAACATTTGCTATATTAGAATAACTAATTTTCGGAGCTGTACGACGAAAAGTTAACTGTTCTAAAGCCATTCTAGAGCAAAACGGTTGAACAACATCGCTAACTTTTAGTTGCTTGGCTCCGCAAGGTTTAGGTATCCATACATAGATAATATTTTTAGCTGCCCAGATTAATCCTTTCTCTGAGTGAAAAATGTTAAGGCAAGGCGATATGCACGGGTGTGCGATTCCTCATGTTCGAACTGTCAAAAATGTCACCCAGACCATTTAAACATTTTAGTAGCACACGCACACACACTCGCCCCAGCTCGAGGGGGCAATAACTCCGGGAATCATGTGTACACCTGTCTGGGAATCATCAGGATAAAAATTGATCAAAATCAAAAGAAATCGCTTAGAATAAGCGGGAAACTAGAGAAATAAGTACAAATCCGTCGAAATAAGCGTTTTATACCACTAAAACCCCCCGAAAAACCTATGTAATAATTATAAGCGGACGGGAATCACCGGGAATCAAGAATTTCGGGAATCATGTGTACACTTCAAAAGGGAGTTATTGCCCCCTCGCCCCAGCTACGTGACTGCACCTTGTGGCCCGTGCAACAAGGTCGGGCACGTTGCTGGAGCGCCAGGCGGAGTAGCGGCGCGCGATGCAACTTGATGTGGAGACACTTAGCACTGCCGCTGAAGCTCTTCTTTTCTTACGTCATTTCGGGCGTACATTTTAGCAAAGCCCTTGATAAATATCGGTTATTTTTTTTATCGGAATTTACTAGTATATCGTAAAAAGAATTATGTCGTCCGATGTGTTTTCATGGTGGCTTGGTTTTGATGGAAGGGGTGCAGGGCCAGTATGAGACGATGAGACGAGGTGGACGACAAGGTTTTTGGCTACCAGCCAGATAATTTAACCACACACAGCTTGTGAATAATTGTCAATTGTGCACATGCGTACACATACCTTGTATACGCTGTTAAGGGGGGTCAGGACAAAAAAAAATGATTTTCGGTTTTATTTTTTAAAAAATTCTCTGACTCTTCCTGAGTCTATAGCTGTTTAGTTTGTAAAGAAATTCTAAAAATTGTGACCGTGGGATTTTTTCTTGTGAAGAGTCAAACCTGAAATTGCCCATTAACGCCAACTTCAGATGCGTTTTTCTCTGAACTTTACTTTTCAACCTTGCGCGCAGAGTTTCTCCTACACCCTTAACGCCACAGCTATGAAACTTTGCAGGCTTCACTTTTACAGTATTTTCAACAACTTGTCACAGGATTTTTTCAAAATTCCTACCCATTGATTTTTTAAAAAATGTTATAGGGGTGAAAACGGCACGATTTTGGTCATGAAACTTAAATTTGTCATTAAAAATCAGCAAGTGAGAATATCAAGAAAATCCTGTGACAAGTTTTAGGTATTCATATGACTAACTTACAGGAAAAGTTTCAGCGTTGTAGTGCAAACCATAACCGAGAAACCTTGCGCGCAAGATTTTTAACTGTTTTGTAACACTTTACTAGAATTGTCGTTCAGGGTGACTCTTGAGAGTTAGGATACTTTTTGAGCCTGGAAAATGGTCACAATAGACCAATTGTTAAATGCTTTACCCTGTGGACAGTCCCACACTCACCATATCCCTACAGGACACATGGTTTTAGAGCCCTAGAATTGACAAAATTTTGTCCTGACCCCCCTTAAGCTGTTAGAGCTTGCTGACTGCACTCAGGAAGCCGTATTCTTGGTTCAAGAGCCAAATTCTCTTAATTGAATACAGAGCAAAGTGAAAAATGCTTTTCATTCGATTAAGAGAATTTCGGTCTTGAACCAAGAATACGGCTTCCTGAGTGCAGTTAGCAAGCTCTACGACTGCTTTCAGTAGAGACCACAATAACCCAGGCTGCAGAACCGTCCACTCGCCTTGCTCGATTGCTTGTTTTTCAATTCGCTAATCCGAAGGTTGGGAAAAAGAAAATATGCGAAGGGAATCCTAAAAAGAAAGAGGAAAAGACGGGCGTGGTCACGGGGTAAACTGCAGCGGCTGCAGCTCCTGCCACCACCGCTGGAATCCAGGGGGACCTGGAGTTACAACACCACGGCCGGCGAGTGCGAGGAGAGGGGGAGGGGGTATAATATGTGAGCTCACGGGGCGTTCCTCCTCCTTCTGGAGGAAACAGGTCCGAGTCAAGGTACGACAAGGTCAGCGGCTGGCCCTCCACAAGCGTCACGGCCTCGGCGTCGTGTGACGCGGAGCAGACCGCGCTTTAGGGAAGCTGCACGACATGGTGAAAAAAATCAAAGCATCATTGTACCTATGCTAATGGGATGGGGGCTGTAGGGGATCAATTAAATGTTTCTTCAAGTCATAACGCAGTTTGCTTTTGCGCATGAGGTTGGCTGTCGGGCGTCGACCGACGCGGGGCGCACACTGGCGCACGGTTGGGTGATTGGACGGATCAGATCAGGGCGTTGAGGTGTTCTGCTCGTCTGGAGCCGCGGCGGGGTGCGGCGAGGTCCTCCAGCCGGCCCGGCGGCCGCTGGCCCAGCCCAGAGGGTTTCGCGGACGCGTTATTCAGGTCAGAGTTGCTCAACCCTGCACGACCAGCCGTCCGGCCCCAGTAAAACAGGTGATTGGCGTTCTGATCAAGTACCTCTCCGGGTAAATGCGCTGGAAAAAAGGAGAGCGTGGATGCGCAAGGATTGTGTTCATAGTGTAAATATGCAAGGTACATGTTTGGACATACGATTGCCCTTAGGCCCGTAGGTTGCTGGCTAGCGGTGGTGTGCTTTGCCTCGCCAGTGCTTTAAAGAACATTGGTGGAATTGTTGTTATCAAAGCCTCTACAAAAGCATCGCAGGAATGGTTTGGGAAACGAATATGATAACGGTCTCGATGTGCAGGCTCTGCGCAATCAAACGGTTGGGAAATGCAACGCCTCACCGCACGCGTCCCTCTATTTACTACTCCTTAGGCAAGGTCCGGGCCGCGGTGCTGACGTCAGGCAGACTTGCCAGCAAAAGCTGCGTTGTTGTTCTTATCTTTTCGAAAATTAATATTCCTGGAGCCTTTGCTCGTATTGGTGACATCGTCTGCTTGGGGAAGTCTGACATGATACCGATCTCTTGAGTTGATTCAAAAGTTTCATGCTGATTCTACCAAGAAAAAATTACAAGTATTGGATCAACATTGTTGACCGAGTCCTTCTGCCGGGCCACGCGTGCTGAGGTTCGTTTCGGCTTTGTCTTCGTCTAGGTGAAGCAAGCTGACCTATGCGCGGGAAAAAAACAGGTGGAGAGGGGGTAGGGGTAAGCGGCTGGCCAGGGAAAAGGGCGTACATGTCGTGCCCTGTGTATAAGCTGTTGTGCCACCGGCGACCCGAGCTAGCTCCGCCGGAGACCCCGACTGTTTAAGCAACGGGGTTGTTTAATGCTGTCGGTTTTACTCGCCTCGCCGCATTATTTGCCATTAGCTTAAAATAATCACAGTTAAAAATAAAAATGGACAAAAAAATGCAAGAGGTTACACTGGAAATGCAAGTGTGTGAATGTCGCTCACCTGCAGGTGAGCGACATTCACACACTTGCATTTCCAGTGTAAACACCGGCAGTCAACTGGTTCAAACAATTAGCAACTCTCAAAGTCAGTGCACTTCCCTTCAGTGCCCCTAAACAAAATCTCTACTGCTGTAAATTATGTTCATTTTGTGTGTTTAAAAAAATAAGGCGAAAAGTAAAGTTTTGTGTGTTATTTTGTTGTCTAGGATGGCGCCGATAGGACAGTTGCCGCAGCCCTTCCTGGAGCCTGATCGGGTGCCGAAGCCTACGGATCGGGACAAGGATGTGGCTACCATCAGGGCTTGGGTCAACACACAAACCCACCTGCCGCCCCTCACAGGTGAGCATCGAGAATCTAGCCTTGCCAAAGCTCTCTCAAACTCGAGCGCTATGAGAGCCTATGGGTGAGATTTGAAAACGTACATTGACACAATATGTTCTAATTCGCAGATGACCACTTGCTCCTGTTCCTGCACAGTTGTAACTACGCACAGGACCGCACCCAGAAGACCATCGACAGTTACTTCACCACGCGCACCAACGAAACTTATCTGTTCAGCGACAAAGACCCCCGATCCGGGGACCTGAAACACGTCTTCGGAGTCGCGTAAGAACACTGTTTAGCTTTAGAGCAGTTACAGAGATAACTCTGAAATCGGAACTAAATCTCACATTTTCGTGATTTTTGAGAATTTGTAAAATCAAGCCTTTTGTTCGGCTGACTAAAGCATCTAAAACTGCTAACAAAAAACGATAATGAAGATACTATTAATAATAATAATTACCACACACGCCTGCAGGGCCATGATATGATTTTCTCTTTCTGATTGAACTTTTATATCAACACACAGGGAGCTCGTGGCTTGTCCGGAGCGCACCAAGGAGGGCTACGGCGTACTGCTCTACCGCCTGACTGACTTCGACCCATCCCACGTCGACCTGCTCCAGGGCATGAAGTCGTTTTTTGCTTTCAACGACGTTCGCCTCAGCGAGGACGGCGTTATACCCGGCTACGTGGTCGTCTTCGACATGCGTGGCATCACTCTGTCGCACCTGGCCATCGTGACGCTCTCTGGCATCCGCAAGTTCATGCACTATATCCAGGTAAAAGAAGTAGGCAGTGGCGCAGCCGCGCCTGGCGTGAGGTGCTGTTCGGTCTGCTGTGTCAGTTTGGCTGCCTACTTGTACGGCGTTCCGTCAGATAGTGCGCGTGTGCCGGGTGTATCTCTGAATGCGCTCCACATTGGCGGAATTTTATATTCGCTTGGCTCTCGGGGACCATGGTGACTTTCCGGCAAATAGAGTAGGCAAAGACGCAACGCATTTAAAGAAACACTCGGTACTGTAAGTTTACGTAGTTAAAGAAACACTCGGTACTGTAAGTTCACTATGAACAGTTTTTTAGAGTGCACGTTAAATACCTTCAAAACGAGGGGGCAATAACTCCGGGAATCATGTGTACACTTGCCTGGGAATCACTAGGAAAAAAATTAACAGAAATCAACAGAAATCGCTTAAACTAAGCGGGAAACTAGTGGAACTGACACAAATTAGTCGAAACAAGCGTTTTCTGCCACTAGAAAACTCGAGAAAAACTAAGGAATGATTATTAGCCGACGGGAATCACTGGGAATCAAGTATTTCGGGAATCATGTGTACATATCAAAAAGGAGTTATTGTCCCCTCGCTTCAAAATGTACTTCCGTGTGGATGTAGTAAAATTTGCGTAGTCATTGGAATCAGAGAGGGATTTGATTTGATTTATTTTTTGCATAGTAGGTACAAAGGGACTATTAAGTCCTACGAGAGTGCCATTAGTACTTTTCAATGATTTTAATCGACTGTGATTGGATCCAATTACAAAGCACAGAAAACGAGAGACAGGCAGAGAGAGAGAGAGAGAGAGAGAGAGAGAGAGAGAGAGAGAGAGAGAGAGACAGAGAGAGAGAAACACTTAACGGTGATGTCAATGCATTTCCTAACTCTGTATTATTATTTTTTTTTCAGGAATGTCACCCATGCCGGCTTAAGGCTATTCACGTTATCAATACTGTGAAGTGGTTTGACAAGATTCTAACCATCATTAAGCCCTTTGTGAAAAGCGAGCTTCTGCAAATGGTACGCGTGTGATGGTTTTGTTTAGGTTGCCAGTTTGAGGCAACTAAATACTTTTTTTGTCCAATGACAATATAAATAACTGAAATAACCAACGTCTTATTATGTTTGTTTTGCCTGTAGCTGTCAATGCATGGAGAAGACCTCAGTACCATGTTCAAGACTATCCCCCAGAGCGTCCTGCCTGCTGATTATGGTGGAAAAGCTCCTCTCTGTAAGGAGCTTCATGGTGAGTTCACAACCTTGTTCAATCATGCTAACAACTATAGATGTATCTAGTTATAAACGCACTTTTGTTTTGTAATTTTCAGATGCACATGTTAAGCTGATGGTGGATAAGTACACTCTATGGCTGAAACAAGAGGAATCACTTCGTGTAGATGAAAAGAAACGGCCTGACAAATGCAAGATTCCGAAGTTTAACACTATGGAAGGTTCATTCCGTTCCTTAGCAATCGACTAAAGTACAAATTTAGTTTATTGGTAATTCGTTATTTTAAATTCACTGGCTTCACTGCCTTTTTTCTGTTTCAAAACGAAACAGTCTGTACCATTTTTGTTTTTTCGTTGTTTTGTATTATTTTTTCGTTTCTCACTGCGGTACTTTGAACATAAGTTTAAGTTTTATTTTCATCTTGCAAAATTAATTGAATGTGTAACTAAGATAATCCGCACTTCAATGTGCGATCACCCTCCTCTCGTACTTTCCCTCGCAATTTTGTGATCCTGATACTTCTTTTAAACTGTGATCAATATTCTCCATTACTAGATTTATGACATTGTAATGAAATGTGCTGGACACATCACATTACTGTTTAGTTTGCTGCATTCGTTGTTTCATTGTTAAATGAGCTACATTTTCATGAAAATCAAATTATCAGTAGAACGCCCAATAAATCTTTTCAAATCTAAACTTGTTTTACACTTGGAAAGAAAAGCGTCTAATTGACTGTGACATTTAGGGTACGATACTATGGAAGACTGAGTTCAATATTTCACTGATCTGAGAGCTGATATTGGACGGTTCTTTTTGATTTCAATTTTCGAATCACCTTTCGTCAATTCGATGTCAAAACGTCCCGAAATCGTTTTTTACTGGTCTGTTGCGACACTTTCGCATTTTACCACTGAACTTTCGCTTTCTAAAAAATGGAACACAAAAATCTATACGGAAACGTTCTTTTTTATTATTAGCGCACTGGGTTATCCTACAGACCGCCACCACCCATACTAGAAATAACGGTTATAAAGCCGAGCCTACTGACCGATCGGCCCTTAACCCCAGCTCATGTTTTTGAACATTTTATAAATGCTTACACTTTTACTCGCGCACGAGGATGCAGCCTATCCCGATCCTAATTCCTCTAACTTTCTACAACACTCAGTATTGTAGCAGTAAACCCTCTTCCCGCCAAAGCCTAGAAAAGCATTCTAGCTGTCATAATTGCATATTTGTGTGCGGTTCGGACTGTAGCGTATAGCGGTAATTTATCGCTCCTGTAGGCGCATCAAAATGTGAGAATCTTTTATGGTCGTTGTTCCATCAATTTGTATAAAATTTGTCGAACTTGGAATTCGGAATAACAGTGAATTCTCTGGAAACCCAAGTGTGTACTTGAATGCAAGAATATTCTGCATACCTACATGTATGCAGAATGTTCTGTGTTCTTGGCAAGTATGCAGGAGATAGTGTGGCCAAGTACACACACTGCCAAGTACACGGAATATTCTGCATACATGTAGGTATGCCGAGGGGGAATCATCAGGATTAAAATTAATCAAAATCAACAGAAATCGCTTAAAATAATCGGGAAACTAGTGAAACTCGTACAAAGTAGTCGAAATAAGCGTTTTCTACCACTTGAAAACCTAAGAAATGAATAAAAGTGGACGGGAATCACTGGGAATCATTCATTTCGGGAATCACGCGTACACTTCAAAAGGGAGTTATTGCCCCCTCGAGGTATGCAGAATATTCTGCATTCAAGTACACACTTGGGTTTCCAGAGTTTAAGACGGGTGCCGTGGTGTTACACTTCATAACACTGAACAGTAGGGCTGATTCATGTGGGTGATGGTCGGATGTAAATTGTCGCCCGTCGACAAACACTAACACACGGCAGACCACAAAAGCGCCGCCGGTGGTGAATCTCTTTTCGCATCACCGGTGCCCTGAAGTGAGTCATAGTCTTATCCTTCAGGATGGCGTGCATTCCACGAACTTAGTGTGACACGCTGCCGACTAGCGTGTCTACCTGGATGGACAAAAAAGGCTAGGTAGAATAATTGACGGTCGGCTTTCCCACTGCGGATGGTCGCTCCATTTTTTGTTTGTAAAACTTTTCTTGAAAACCCCTCACAACCCCGTGTTGCATTGTTGATTTTTCTTTTCCTGTCGTCAAATTTCTCGGTCCCCTCTTAGATTGCTCCTAAAATATCTCGGGTATTTCTAAGATTTTCGCATGTTTTGAGTTGCTGCGGGTTTCGTTGTTTTGTAGCGTTTACCCCCCCCCCACGAAGCATCTCGCCGTGGCGTGGAGTATTCTCTCAGCGCAGAGGCGATACCCCCTGCTAGAGTGCGATGCCCCCCTCCCTCCCCTGGGCTATCAGCTGTTGCGGTGAGGCCCGGTAAGACCGTAGAGTAGAGAGATATCTCTGAACACTGTTGGCCCGGCTAAGCCCGGGCATAGAGTAGAGTGCGAGCCTTTCTCGCATTGCTGATGTGGCGAAGTGGACTATCGAACAATATTCAAATTACTTCTCACAACCACCGACATTTCATTTTTCGCAGTTCGCTGGTGTACGACAAGATACGCGTCAGTTTGTCGGCAAGCCTCTGCATTGCGCGCCGTGTTGCGGGTTTGCCTATCCTCGACTCGGCGGGCGCACGGGTGAGAGGTGAGGAGGGGACCCCTCTTCTCCTCAT